ACGACGCTCTTCCGATCTCCCCAAAACCCCAAAACCCCAGAAGGAAAAATAATGAAAAAAAATAACTTTCTAAATTTATTCATAAAGTAATGTTATAATTATAAAGTTGAATAAGTACTCACTTTACTATTTAACTATTGAGAAAAATCAGCTTGATTAATTTTCCAGTTCAGTATGGTTCAAAACATTCTCAATCTGAAAGTTTAAAGCTGATCTCTCCTGCCAAAAAATAAGGGGTTCTCATTCAAAAACTTTTATTTTTACAAGTATTGGTTGATTAGGACCTATAGTTTCAATTGAATTGATGATAACTATTAGATTTTAATCAACAGCAGGTACTATTATTGCTAATAGCTTTCTTCTTTTGTAGGCCTCCCTAACTGTCCTTTCTTATTTTATAGCCATTTGGGTAAATTTGTGACATTAAAATCGGTTTGTCGTAGTAACTACTTTTACTCATAGTGCTGTTATTAATTATCTGTTATGAATTCATAAGTCCACTACCATTAGCACCAGTGTTATTATATTTCTACTATGTGAAATAGTTTCTATGATAGTCTTCTTTTTAACTAAATAGTTCCTCATTCTAAGCTGATCCTGTTCTGAAGCTTCTTGCTCCTTTTGGTACAACATCCGTTTACTAACTGTACTTTCTGCTACGACTTGTACTACTTTTTGCAAGGCCGCCATCATCTGGAGTACTGTAAAAATCAACACAGTTTACAATTGATCTGAAGAATGCATCGTCAATAGAATCATTACTCTTAGCTGATGTCTCAAATACAGCCGCTAAGTTTAATTTCTTTCCAAGTCTGACGGCTTCCTCAAACGGCACTTTTCTTTTATCTTCAAGGTCAGTTTTATTCCCAACAAGTATAATGTTTCTGGCGACATCTTACGCGCTGTATGATATGAAGCTCTAGATTTGCTCTTCGATGGATTCAAAAGATGACCTATTAGTAATATCATAGACAGCAACGCATCCGTGGGAGTTTCTGTAATAAGCATGAGAAATTGATCTGAAGCGTTCTTAGCCGGCTGTATCCCAAATCTACATTTTGATAATCTTTGAATCAATTTTCAAAGTCTTGATCTTAAAATCTACGCCAATGGTACACAAATAGTTCTCTGTGAAAACACTGTCAGCAAACCTCACCAGCATTGAAGTTTTTCCAGTATTACTCTCTCCTATTAAGACTATTTTGTATAAGGCATCGAATTCGTAAGGTGAGAAATTCTTCGGGTTTTTGTCAAGTCTACTTTTTATCATCTCCTTCTGGTTATCGTTTGAGACTAATGAGTATCTGCGATCTTTATACATCTTTACTTCCTCAGCATCTAAAAGGAGATTTCTCTCACGAGCAGCAAACTGACCATCATCAGCGGCCAAATTTTGAATTCCTCTATTCATTTATTATTAATACAATTGTTTATTAATAGTGCTTACTAAAGACCTTTAATTCAGCATACTAATAGCCCGATTATAGCGAATTATTATTTATTCACAATTTTTCTTATTATTCAAGGTTACTATTCTATACCTACGGGGTTTTGGGGTTTTGGGGTTTTGGGGTACTAGAAAGACAAACAATAATAAACC